AAAGAGGGAGGGGGGGGGGTCATCCCTGCTGGTAGAGATTATTAATCAACAAACCTACCCAAAGAATAAACAATAAAAAAGCAAAAACATTAATAAGGAGATCATGCAAGAAAAATAAGAGAAAATAAAGAAAGTAATGGAGCTAATAGTATGAGTCAATCAACAAAATCCTGCATCTCTATGATCACACAAGTGAAAGATTATCAATTTATCGTTCATTTTCATACTTCAATTCAAGCAAATTGCCAAGCATAAAAACCATCAACAAACCCTAAAACAACAATCGTCGAAAAACAACAAAAGAAAATGGGGAATTCCGACTATCAAAAGTATCATCAATGCTGAAATTAAACAAAAAAGCAACTTTTTAACAGTAAATGCAAGCAAACTAAACCCTAAAGAGAGAGATTCTGAAACCCTAAACAGATAAAATTGAAGGAGAGCCACCTGGGGAAACTAGTGTTTAACAAAATGTTACAGGAAAATTAAGTGGGATCAGAAGGAATTAATCCGCTATATGGAGGAGGATCCTTTCTACTTTAGGATATTTGGATGAGAAAATATAGAATTACGGATATCAGATTTTTATTTAACTGCTTAATAGCGTAAATTAACCGACTGTTTCGGGAGGAATGTTCTAGTACGTGCGAGCACAAATATTCGGTCTGAGGCCAACTTTAATATTGGGCTGGGCTTCAGACATATAGAGCGAAATCGAAAAAATCAGAAATAACCTGATTTATAACTACTAATTAAAAATTAGCCATACTTCAAATTAATTAAAATTTAGTTACTTTTTATGTAAAAATAAAATTTGAACAAAAATACCCTTAAAAACTCAAAAAATATCCAGCATAATATGCTGAAATTCGAATTTTTTGACATATGAGATTCCATCATAATGTATTAAAATTCATAATGTGCTGGAGTTCCAACATAATATGCTGGAGGTTTGTACGCAAGGGTTCCATAATCCAGCATATTATGCTGAAATTCTCCGTGTTTCAGCCAAGGTATTTTTGTTCAGGTTTTATCTCTGTATTATATAGTAGCTACTTTTCAATAACTTTGCATACACTAACTATTTTTTAATAACCACCCCTTAGAATGACTACGACATGCCATTTTATCAGCGAAATCATCAAAAGGTGATTTGCACAAATACTTGGTGTTACTATTTAAATTTGACTTCGATTTAAAAAAAAAAACTCATAGTTTTTTTCATCAAAAATTTGAATTTTGAAGCGTGCTACAGTAACTTTAGACTTCGAACTTTATTGCAACAATTTCGAACTTCAAAATACTGGTCGAATCCTAAATCTGTTGGCATCGCCATTGAATCGTTTACATATGCTGCTTTGGCTTGCCTTAGCAACCCAAGGGAGTCTTGAGAATTTTTATCTTCTTGAGACTTGACGTGAGTGAAGGCCACTGTAACATGAAAGATTTTTTATACTTTCTCAAATTTAGCCACTCGAGCTAAACTTTAGGACAAACTAAATTACCTATAAAAAATATATGGTCAAACTTTAACCCTCTAGGCTAAACTCTAAAGTATATAAAAAGTGGCATCAAGAAAGGCTATTTATGCAAATTGAGCTCTGAAATCGGGCTGCTTTTCTGATCTGCGCCCAGAGTTGGACAAAAATCTTTCTCCCTCTCACAAAGGCGAACAAACAATTCAAATCGAAATTCCGCAGAAATTTCGATCCATTTCCAATCTTCAAGCGATGGATAGATCCATGGTGCAAGAGGTATGTAAATATCACGTATTTTCTATCCCAGAGATCTTGTTACCGTTTTATGGGTTCATCGTTTTTTNTTTCTATTCCAGAGATCTTGTTACGGTTTTATGGGTTCGTCGTTTTTTTCCTGGCATAATTAATATTGATTTATTTGTTTATTTATAGATAGTGGAGAAGCAAGTGCTGACGGTAGCAAAAGCGGTAGAGGAGAAGCTGGACGAGGAATTACATGCTCTAGAGCGGCTAGATCTTGATGATTTGGAGGTATTGAGAGAACAGAGGTTGAAGCAGATGAAGAAAATGGCGGAGAAACGGAGCCGTTGGATTTCTCTCGGACACGGTGAATACTCTGAGATCCCTACTGAGAAGGAATTTTTCTCTGTTGTTAAGGCTAGTGACCGCGTTGTCTGCCATTTCTACCGTGACAATTGGCCTTGCAAGGTATACGAGTTTAATTCTACTTGCATCAGCATACATTTTCAGCTTTCACATATGTATTACCTCTTTATTGTTGAGACAACTCAATTAAGTAAATAAAAGTGTGTTTGAACTTCAACCTGGTACCAGAGGAGACAGAGGTGTTGGGTTCAAATCTCACCATCACCCATTAATTAAAAAAAAAAAAAAAGAATTTCCCGTGCTTGGCCCATGAACAGAAAAAAAGAAAAGAATCAGGCCCCGGTGCAAGGGGCGTGGTGACACATAATTAACAAATAAAAGCATGTTTTCTATTAAAAGCTTAAACTTTTAATTGAGATAGTCACACGCTTCAACACTTATAAATTTCTCTTAGACATAGTTATGCAATTTAACTCTATGTTGTTCGTAGATAATATCTCATGTAACATATGGCGTTGCAGCTCTCATTATCTTTGGGGAGTTAATGTGGATGCTTCTCTTGCTGCTTCATTGGAGATTAGCCTTATTGGAGTTTTGTTGTCTTAAAAATCTCATGCAATTGCTCTTATTTAACTCCTTATAATTGCATTGTAATTGTTTCTTTGACCGTGATGTTTATTTTGTTGTTGCCTGGTAGAACTGATTTGCACTGGTGGATGATAATTGTTAGGTTCAAGTGGTCCACTTAAAAGTTAGGGCTCTTTCTTGATCTGCAAACCAACGAGCATAATGTCACTAATAATAGTTGCTTCTAACCACTGAAGCCAATTGTATCAAAAATCTTGTAGAAGTTCTTTTGAAAAGGAAATCTTGTAGAAGTTCTTGTGAACATTTATATTATATCCTTCTAACATAGTAAAAATCCAAAGTAGGGTTGAGGAGAGGGTCATTGAAGAGGGGGAGAGAGAGGGACATAATAGGAGACGGAAGGAGAGGAAAGGAGAGTGTGGTGGGAAGCGGAATGAATTTTGAAGAGGAGGAGGGAAAAGGAGTAGGAGGTAGTGGATGTATGTGGGAGAGAGAAGAGAAGTGAAGCCATTCAAGCTTAACACTGAAGTGTTAAATTAGACTTAGTTCTGACGCCAATTTTGTGAAGTATAAGGCCTAAATATATTTCGAGGGCTAAGACAGACTTAGTTTGTCTTTTTGTACCCTCTTTGGCCTTTGGGTTAGTGCGAAGTCTGAGTTAGTTGCAAAGTGAAGGGTGTTAGATGTCATTTCCTCAAATGGGTGGTGTACCGTTTCTGAAGATCCTTCTCCTTATCTTTATTTATGTGGGGATGAAAATGATCCCATTTTCAAGGCAAGATTATCATAGTTCTAATCCCATCTTACGATTTATCAACATAACCTACGTGTATATTCATTGTTTAAATTTAGCATAAAGTGAAGCTGGCCTATATTTGAATATATGTCTCGCCTTTTTGGGAAATCCTTATCCGAGAGTTTAAGCTCAGTTACTTTGGTGGCTAAGTTAACTGGAATCGCTAGTTACTTGTGGTTAATGAATGTGCAATTTCCTTCATAATTAATCATCTAAGCATCGCAGGCATCTGATATGTTATCCCACTACTGAAGTCTTCTATTTGATTTTGTGTTTTCTGCCTCCTTTGTTATATCTCGTTTGTTGACATTTTGCGTTTAAAGTTTAAACTAGTCCAGATGTATTCCTTTGTTGGAGTTCACTGCATGTGCATGACTTGCTTTCCTCCTTGAGCTCTATCTAGGTCTATAATATGAATCAAGCCTTAATCACTTGAAGTTACTTTTTGGCTTCTCTTTCCTCTCTCCTCCTTAAGATGATCAGTACTTTCTGAAAGGAATTCTAATTTTGCATATAAAGTGAGATGTTTTATATTGGGCTCTTATTTTAGGAAAACAAAGAAATGAAGAAGCTTGGCTAAGTTTATGTTTTTGTCACCCTGAGAATTAGGTTTAGGTAACAATAATGCATGCAGCTTCATTGCAGGTGATGGACAAGCATTTGAGCATGCTGGCAAAACAGCATATAGAGACACGTTTTGTGAAAATCCATGCTGAGAAAAGTCCTTACTTAGCTGAGAAGCTCAGAATTGTTGTTCTTCCCACCCTTGCCCTCGTAAAGAATGCTAAAGTGGAGGATTACGTGGTATGTTTAGGTTCAGATAACATGAGCTACTCGTGATCTATTAGTTATTTTTGTCAGCCGTCATTTTGCTAACATCCTTTAATGAAAATGTGCCATGATTTTACTCCACTGGCACTAGGTTGGATTCGACGAGCTTGGTCACACCGATGAATTTAGCACAGAGGAACTGGAAGAGAGGTTAGCTAAAGCTGAAGTTATCATTTTTGAGGGTGAATCATCGAAACTTAAATACAAAGCTCCATCTAAGAGTGTCAGGCAGAGTGCAAATCCCGACTCATCTGATTCAGAGTAAACTTAGACTGGAGACTTATCTGTCCATTGTACTACTACCATATAGTCAGTTTTGAAGACTTATGTATTGAAGAAGTGGGAATGCATATGTTTTTGTGTCTCCTGAAGTATCCTTTAGCAAATCAGACAAAAAATTAACTTTGAGAGTTCCTGTAAATGTAAAACCTTTGGTTTTATCTTTGTGGAATGGAGATTACAATTCAGATAATGAACAAGTGCATTAACATGTCACCGTAACAAAGCGTTTTGCACATTTGGTTTATTTCTAACTATAAAAAGTGTTTGTTCCTCTTTTTGATAGTGTTAACTAGTATTAGCTAATAATCAAACATTGCTCTCGGCAAACTAGATGCTTGGGACTGGGGAGTATATATCAATCAAGGATTTCACATTTGTCCCATAAACCTGGAGCTTGGCTTCTGCTTTCGGTGTAGTGTAAGATGTAGACATTGTCTACATACGATTTTTAAAATTTAATAAAGGTGTTAAAAAGATCTCCTTTCTCAAGATAATATTCATCTCAAATTGAATAATTTTTATGTACACTTGGAGGCAATTCCAAGTCCTAACATACAAAATGAAATTTAGCGTGTTTTACACATAAAGTTGGTATACTATAAGTGAGAGGACACACATGAGAAGATAAACAATTCTAGCATAATTGAGTAGGGGTCATTTAGTTATTGTAATTTCATCACCCAAAATCGTTCTTCCTGTGAGCATGGTCCCTTGAATCGACAGAACTGAAATTCCTAAACTTGCTACAATGTCACACTCATAATAATACAAACCATTCTAGCCAAGATATTTTTCGATTATCAAGATGTTCGGCTACCTTAATGTGGTGCTTATCTTTTCCTGAGCCGAGAATCTATTGGAAATATACTCTCTATCTCCATAAGGTAGGGATAAACCCCACTATGTGGGATTATAGTTGTCGTGGTTGGGCTACCAAATAAAAGTTTAGAAATTGCAATTTTATTGGCCCACGTCGTTCATTTCTATGAGAATGGTACCTACAATAGATTGAATTGAACTTGTTTAACCAGCTACAATGTCTGAGATGAAACACACATGTGAAGATAGACCTTTCTAGCCAAGATTGTCCTCTAATTGAAGATTAAACGGGTGGGGATTCATCCATGCCCTTGAAAATTCCGATTATCATGCCTAGCTAACTTTATGCTTCTCATGCCATTTGCCCCATGTGTGATATAAAACGCCAATCAAATCTTGATCCTCTTTCACTTTTGTCTCAAAATACAATATGGAAGATGAAAGGCTAGGAAATGTGGCTATTAAAAGAAGTCCAGAAAGCACTTCAAAAATCACCATACAAACAATCCCAGTGAGGATAATCCGTTCTATCCTGGGAGAAATCTTAAACCTCGGGTACTAGGAGGAGATTAAGTTCCTTAAGGAAACACTGTGAATTCAGCGGGTTCGGATTAATTATGTTCTTCTACACACTGTTTCTATTTTTAAATATATTTTCGAATACAGAATACTAACACGCATTCCATCATCATCAAATTTATAATCCTTTTCGCATTCACAATAGATCAAAATCAAAATATGCTTCAATAAAATTTTTAGACGTAGTATATATATGTCATCATTTTGAAATAGAAAAAGTTTACAAACTAATCTATCTGATGTAAGACCAAAAATTGGTTAAACTGAGTTATCCAAAACGAAAAGATACTATAATGGTGCATTGATAAAGTATAAGAAATCCCTAAAGACGTGTCCAAGAACCAATCATGCTGCGTAATTTTAATTAAATCAAGAATTAGTTGATTATGTAATCTAACCCATAGCTACTTCATTCCATTAGATATCAATCAGGGCAGGGCGTTAAAGCAGGAAATATCAATGAAAGTTAACATGAAATGGCAAAAAAGAGAACAAAGGCAAACCCATTTTATAAAGGACATAGAAAGTGAAGGATATTGAACGCAAGTTCGTGGTTACTGCTCCTACACATTGCTTGGCTCAAAGTCATTAACATTCAAATTCAAATTAATCGGATGAGTAAATTTGTGATATTATAAAATCGAGGCATAACTAGAATTAGAAGAAACATACCCGTGATCTTCTGAAAGTGGTCAGCGCCTCCTATAAATCAAAAGGGACCACATTACAAACATAGCCACAATCCCCATTGTCTCATTTATTACTTTCACATGCCTTGATTTCCCCTTTTTCTTCTTTTGCTTCTGTGTATGTAGAATGATGTGTTCATCTCTGATCTCTGATCTCTGCCTATGAAATTTAATGAAGGGTAGATGAAGAAGTTAATACTAGTAATCAATGCCACCACCAAAACACCTACTACTCTGTTGGCTAGTACGAACACCTTCTTTAATGTTGAGAATGACCAAACCAAACTTTTTAGTCTTTGATTTTTCAGTGTTTTGGAAGTTGTGTAATTTCAGAACAAAAAGAAAGAGGTGATATATACTTTCATCTATTATGGTTACTATAGGAAGGTCACTCTTGTTTGTTTGAAAGAATTGCAAAATGATACACATATATATATATATATATATATATATATATGAATGTTTTCTTTGGTTTAACCCTCATGTATTTGAAGCCAATTAGCTTGACTAGTGCGGATTTGTGCCGAGTAGGTTTAGTACAATGGAAATAAAACGCTTCCTATCAAGAAATTATTTATTTTTAGAGCTTGAATTGTCGACTTCTGGTTAAAGGTGGAGGGCTACCAACCCATTATATATATATAAGGTCAAAATTATTTTTTATGCGTAAATAATAGGTGTTGTATTTTTTATGTGTTTACTTTTTAATTTTTTGAATCTCCTTGATAAAAATTTGGGCTCCGCCACATACCACATATACACCCCCTCGTGGTATACTTATATGCATGTTACTCATGCTTGTTTGAAAAAATAGTGAAATGTATATTTAAGTGTTACTCTTGTTTGTCTCAAATTGACAAATTTTATAAAGTAAAAATAATCGGTATATAAAGATACTACTACTAAAATAGGGAAAATAAATTGTGTAACGTACTCTAGCTCTATTGAATTACTGAAATCCCATTTTGAGTAAAATTATATTCCCCAAAACTCATAGGTGTCTTTTTGTGCTGGACCATAAATATTGTAGCTTCCCTCTAATGCAGGGTGAGAGTGATGTCCTTCTCAAATGGCTCTGTTTCGCATTCACACAATTAATATACTATAACTCTTTTTGGTTACTTAATTCTTTTGCTTTTATGATTCTCATGCAAATCAAGAATATACGTAATTGAATGAAACATTTAATTTTTATCACTTTCTTGTGCTTTTTTATGACTCTAATTAAATAGTGAAATTGTACTATTTGCTCTCCTCAACTATATATGTAAATCTCATCCTCACTACATATTTTGATGTTAGATTGCAATATGGGATTTCACAAGCTCAATCTAGATTAATGACCATATCAAACTACACTGTTAGGTTAATGAATGCTAGTGTCCTCTGTCCTGACGTTTGATCACATTTTTTTAATGTAGACATTATTAAGGACAGCCAGGTGCATTAAATTTCTATTATGCGTGGGGTCCGGGGAAGGGTCTATTGTATTCAGTCTTGCTCTATATTTCTGCAAAAGGCGGCTGTTTTCACTGCTTGAACACGTGACTTCCTTGTCATATGACAACAACTTTACCAATTACGTCAGTGCTCCCTTCAAAATGCAAACATTATTATTGTGAAAAACAATTTTATTAAGGAGAGATATATGTATTTCTCATCACTTAATTTTAGAAATCCTAATATGCATTTCAAACGAATCATCTTTTTTATTTCCCTCTCACTTCCAACGCCGTGGTTTGCAACCTCTTGTTAAACAATGGGACAGTTCTTTTCTTTGACAATGTCGGGTTAAAAAGATGTCGCGCTTTTCTTTATAAGAAGTGTTTGGGAGTGTCACAATTAGGTTGTTAAATAAATCTACCTTTGACCAATTAGGATTGTGGTTGATTGATGAATACTCTTTCATTTTTAACCAAATATTTTGGATTCGAGCCCTAGTTATAGGTCTCCTTTGTTAAGGACTTAAGGAGCATTATACCCCGCAATGTGGGATTTTTCTGCGTAAATTCAGATTCAATCAAACCCAATACAGTTACCGAACATAAATGGAAAACACGAAGAAAAAAAAAAGGGACCTTTGATTTTTGTATAGAAGTGGTTGGTTATGTGTTGAATGGTGGTAGTAAATGCAGGTGTGGGTGATTCACGTAGGAAGAATGAACAAAACATGAAATGCCATTACTAACTTTAGTTTTGATTTACACATAACAAAATGTGAACGCTTTGACATTATACGGCAGTGACATTTGCAAAATGACGAAGTAAGAAAGGACAATAGTTACTAATTTTGACAAAAGAAATAGAATTTACACATGATGTTTTTGGCTTCATTCAGTTCATAATTTAAGGGTAAAAAGACATGCATTTTCGTAAAAGATGTTTGTCCCTATGAACAATTGCTGTGTCCTTTGGAACTCAAAGATTTTTGTGAAATTTTGGCTGGTTTTAAGGGAAGAAGAAGATAAAGCCATTTTGACTCAACAGGCAAAGTTGATACACAGGTATGGTGGAAATTTAACTAGAAGCCATAGTGCCTATCTGTTAATAGACAATTCCAAAAAAACTCTCTTTCCCTTTTGGAAGATCACTGTCCTCGTTTAATTACTATAGATAAGGATGGACCTACTCTCCAATGCTACAAAAAATTGGAATTTCTGACATTTTTGGAGTTGTTTTAAGTTAAAACACTTTATTACCATATGAATAATTTCAATTATATGAGAGAAGAAGATCTTCATCTATGTGAGATTTGGAAAAAAAAATAGCTGATTCCAAGTTCGAATAAAGAGAAATAATTGCAGTCATTTATCACGAGTATAAACATTGAGTGGGTCTAAATTTTTACGGTAAAGATAGTCTTATTATGGGAAGAGCAGTCTTGGTGTAATTGGTAAAGTTGATGTCAAATGACCAGGAGATCACGGATTCGAGCTGTGGAAACAGGCTCTTGCAGAAATGTAAGGTAAGACGGTGTACAATAGACCATTGTGGTCCGGCCCTTCTCCGAAACCGACACATAGCAAGAACTTAATATACCGGGCTGCCCTTTTTAGTCTTATTAGCTTTACAAATACCTAATTATCTGCTGATTCCTATGCATTTCGTAAGAATTGATATCAAATT